AGGGCGAATTCTAGAACGGGGTAAAAAAAATTGGGCCCTTTTCAAAACGGGGTATTAATTTTAGGGGAAAATTTTTCTAGAACGGGGGGCCAATTTGGGGTCCCGGGGGGCACACACCCCCCCAAAAAAAACCCCAGGGCCCCCCCCCCCCCGGGTCTCACGCCGGCCGGTCACACAGGAAACGTACACTTTCTTTAGTGTTATAGGTATTATACTGGTAGTAGATTTATCCAGTTTTGTCTCATTTTCGTCAACAGTGCAGGATGTAATAGTGAGCTTTCATAACAGGACGGCAGAAATATGAGGATGGCAAAACGTTTGTGTGTGACAGACGTGACAGGGTTATTGCTTGTGTGTTTTGTCGTGATTTTCACTCAACCCATACTGTGCACGTTCGGTCTGTTACATAAAAGATCTGTTTAAAGAAAGTTGAAGTTTGGCGGACATTTTTTTTCCAACAACATTATTATCACGGTCTTCCGTCTTCTTTCCTCTGATTTTCGTGCTTAAAGGATCTCGTAACTGTGTATTTTAAACTACTAAAATGCTTTCCTCTGCTCGCGCTCTGCCTCTGGTCGTATTACAACCGCTGTTTCCTGAGTGGTCCGCATGAACATCTTTGTTGATCAACAAGAAGCTAGGCACAGTACCTGGCAAAAGTTTTCGAATCGATTTTCGGGAGGGCTTGATCGGCGGTATCAGCGAAGTTTTATGGCGATTTCACAGCGTTTGTAGCCGGTCTCAAAGTTTCGTTTTTGTGTTTCTTTCCTCCTCTCAATCTTGACCTTTTTGGTGCAAAGCCGAGTCAAACAAGGCCGAGAATCGGATTCTAGCTTTCGCCGTCTCTTTTGTCAGACGCGGCTGTTTAATTTTTCATTCACTTTATGTCGTCATAATGTACTTTATAAAGTGCCTTGCAAAAAAATAGGAAAAGACAGATTCAACGAAATATTTTTAGCATGAATCAGGGTAATCAGTAGACATTTACGCGGTTTTATTAACTTTTGAAATGCACCAGTTTATGAAAATTCATCGAAACCGCTGGAACTAGGAGAAAGCTTTAAAATCAGCAAAGTTGCTAACTTTTAAAGTGGTTTGTTAACAATAATGAAGATATGGTTCGGCAAAGTCACGAAATTGTGGATAAAAGTAACTGCAGCATGTCTCATTTTGCCCCAAACCATGCACGCATTAAAGTTGAAATTAAAAATTCATCTCCCAGAGCATTGAAACATTATTACAATGATGTCTCTGCAGCTAGGTCAAACGTTTTCTTCATTTAACATACAGAGACCAGTCCAATGGCTCCCCCGGACCCAAAACCCTTTGCTTTTCAAATAAAATGACTTAGAGCTATCTAAAATCTTTATACCACCTAGTATCTAAAGGCTTGCTACGGCCCTGCAGATAGTACTTCCGCTGTGTGAACAGCAATTTACTGAGCGCACTTAGCTACAGATTTGCTCTTTTACTTACTTATTACTCTCGAGACCTGGCAAATTCAGATCAAATTTTTAAGGCGCTCTTTTCAGAGGGTCGATGGATCTTTGGTCTATTAAGACAATTTGAGTTTCAAGTGCCCTGTTTAAATTCCGCCACAGAAAGTACAAGTCAATATGTAAATGAAGTTAATATATAGTCCTATACTTCACTAGCTTAAATCTTATCGTCTGCTAAGATTTTAAGCAGAGTCACTTCAGTACTTCTTGTTTTTGCATTTTTAAAAAAGGAAATTCATTAACATAGCAAAGATCTGCAAACTTCGTCACTTTGTATGAACACAAGTTCAGTTTTTAAAGGGTTCACCTACCGATGCCTCTGAGTTCCTGAAGTCCAAGTAGCGATGCATGGCGTTCTCTCGGTCGTCATCGTAAAACTTCTACAGCGTAATAATTATAAAATGAATTATTTAACGAATAAAGGCCAAAAAACATTAGGTTTTCGAAATATCGGAGAACTTTATCACACTTCTGCTAAAAAATTTTTAAGGGACTTCGACTTCTCGGCTTTCTTTCACTCGGCTCCAGCTGCTCTGCATCTGTGTGGCTTTTTTCCTGCAGTAACAACCTTGATGCAGAGATCAAGTCATTTATATGTGGATGAAGCAAACGTTTAAGTTCTTGCCTTCTGATTGGCCCGTTGCGACTGTACTTTGCCCCCTCTCTGCGTAAATTTCTCTCGTTCGAAAAAACCAAATGACGCAAGCCCCTTAAGGGGCCGACCATTTAACTCTTGAGGGGGGGAGGGAGGGTGGGTGATATTGAAAATTTGAAAAAAAATTCCTGCAAGCGCTTGTCAGAAGAAAAAAATTGCATGTAGCACAAATGTAATAAAAAAGCTTATGGGAAAAAAAGGAAAAAACAATATCCTGCCCACCAGATTGTTAGAAAAAAAAAATCTTGATGACCAGAAAACAACCCACCCCGCCCTCCCCCCCCTCCCCACCTCAAGAATGAGAAGAATATTGTTTCCTGCGACCAATTAGCAGAGACCTTACGAGCAGCACAAATATTTTGGTCCTTGGAAATTGACAAAGTACCGTGAAGGCAGGAAAAAATACATTTCTGCATTACAACAGTACCGTTCCGAAAATTGTTCATTATGAGCCTAGAACGATTATTCTTATTTGTTCCTAATCGTAACGCCTTCGCCTCGATTAATAAGAGAATCGTTCTGACACAACCCACTGTAATTTTGGTCTCGTACGATGGTTTCCGGT